TACAGCACGGAATCGGAGTACCCCCTCCGTTAGTCTTGTCCGGGAGCCAGTGGAGAGTTGAGATCTATTTCTTAAAATAGCGATCACCACTCCACCACAGTGTATACCGATTTTGAGTGGCCCACGTAAATATCCCGCGATACATCGTTTTGACCGGCAGCGATCTTACGTGAATTGCGCGAATACTGTTCCGCCACTTCCCCGCACATTATTTCTATGCGCCATCCTTGCTATACTTCACGTCTTCACAGATTACTCCCATCACATGTTAGCTTTTATAAACGCTATACCTTACACCCATAATGTATATATCTCGTCTTTAAGGAGTGGGATTTATAACGACTTCCGAAACCACGATATGTGCATCGCTTATCTTAGGGCAAAATCGCAATATCTTACCTCCACCATCGTATTATCACAGATTGTCTTGTTGTCGGATCGTCATGATTCACCTAACTCGGTGCTCCGATCGTCAAAGCCTTGTCGCGATACATCCGTACCAGCCCGTCCTCACCAATCAAATCCATATTGGACATAACTAGGCACACAATTCATACAAGCTCTAGAGTCACTTGCCTTCACTGAACAATATATAATAATGAAATTATGGAGCTGTAGAGAACACCGAAAGAGGTTAATGCTGTGGAACTAGTGTCTGGGACAAGTAAGCAGTCATTAAAACCAATCTGCCTTAATAAGGGGCTCTGTGATACTATTGCCTACTTCTTTGCAATCAGATTACAATTCTTGGGAAATCATCTAAATAGTTACGCCGGTTTTGTTTATATGTTGCCGCATTCGAAAACATACATCTCGATGTTATTATGATACAAATTATTTCAAGGCGAGCTTAGCCTATACTTTGGTCTAACTTTACGTGTATGATTAGCACACTTAGTAGGTATAATTGCAACGGACAATTTATGTACGCATCCATGTAAGTACTTAAATGGTTGAACATAAGGCTAGACACGACCTTATATTAGTTGTATCCGTGGCATATCGCAAGCGAGTAAATCGTCTCGAAAGTATATCAAGCATGTCTTTGTTCCCTTGTATATTATATGACAAGCGTGACTTCATAGTCAACTTCATTGGTCGTTGCTGCAGCTGAGAAACGTTCGTCATTATTAATTTCTTATTGGCATACATTCAAATCACAAGAGATCAAAGAATATCAAGCAGTCAGTAGATAATCTCCCACCGTAATGATAGACCAAACCTTTTATTTTATTAGTCCGTGTCAAAGTTGAGGTGGAATAGTCATCTGGATAGACACGAAATGGACGATAAAAGCCGATTGTTCCCTGCATATAAGGCGTTACGCGGGCGTTTAAATCCTACACAACCTACACAAATTCACTAGACCTAAATGGTTGCCTATTGAGCCACATTTTAGAAGATAATGTGGCAAATATTCATTCTGCCTTATTTATAAACACAATTAAAATTTGATTTACAATCATGACGTGTTACAACATCGTTCACCATCTCAAATATGTTACTGTATTATCAACATTGACACTTGTCATTGGCGATTGGTATTGTATGCACGCATATAAAGATTGTAAGAATATTTACAAACGCTATCTACTTACTTCGCAATCCAAGATGTTTATGAAATACATGCAAGTATTTATCAGAAAATTAGATGTTAAATACCGATGATGAACAAATTTGATGGACACAGATAGATAGATGCTATCTATTGCATTTGTATGCACCTTCTTGCCGTGCTTCAAGATCGCTAGCGACGATGTCGTAACCGTATTGATATGCCACTAAACTGCAACGCTAACAAGTCGGTCAACAATGTTGCTCTTCAGGAAACAGACCTGATACATTGGAATGGCAAATCAATTTATTGAAAAAGTTGTTCAGTATCATTGGTCAGCGTATTTTATAGATGTAGGTGGGAAGGGGGTCTGTTATGTTTTTGCTTAAGTAATATACGAATTACTCGTCACTTTACGATGTAGTCGCCGCACTGAAAGAGTCGTATAATGACGACAAATAAATAAATTATATGAATGCGTCACGGTACGAAATGAGCATCAAGTCATAAAGAAAATAAAAATGCACCAGATATCTCAAAACTAAATCCACCCTTAGTGTAAAGCAGACGACCGAATCTACACATGCCTTGGATTTTACAACTACGTTGATGAGTATCTTCTTACATCCTTTTTATCGATCGATAAAAACATGATCGTCTCTTCGTCAGATTTGGATTCTAATTATTGGACATTTGACGGTCCAAGCGTATTCCACAAGTATACGTTGCGATTATAAGGTCACCTTGCTTTTATCAACATATCTAGATCTGATAGCCCAAATTTGTAGTTTTGTTCTGTCGTCTTGGCGAAATTATGTAAATAAAAAGGCGAGACTACTTGTCGGTGAACTCGCCCGAAAAAATTAATGCATATGATATAAAATGTACAAGCCGGGTGAGCATGAGATGACATCGAGTCAGCCAACATAAAGAGAGGACAAGATACTGGACAGCTGACGTGAAAACCTTGCTTTGTTCTGTGGCGAATGATCGTGTTAATACCGCGGGACGATGGGTTGATTGTATGTAAAACCGATACTAATTCTGATGTATTGATATGGGCTCTCCAGAATAGAGATTGTAGGCAGCTGACGGTGATGCTGATGTCGGTGTTTATCGTAAGGTTGTAGTATGAAATGTCATCCAGAAAAATGAAGTATTGCTACATGATTTTACAATTATGGCGATGATTTGTGGGGCTGTACTAAGATGCTTGTATGTGTGAGTTCTGTGATGAAGTTCGAAAGATTAAAGCGATAGCTAGATAGGCTGCACCTATATAAATATCTATGTATCAAATAGGAAAGAATTGAAAGACCAAAGCACTGTCACCATTCGATACTCGCTGAGCACGAGAAGTAAACCTTAATGTCCTGGTGGTGAAGGTTTATCAGCAATCTTATGCCAAGCAGCGACGTCCTCAAGTTAAGTGCCTAGCAAAAAGAGAAATGATTAGGGAGTAAAAGAGTGCGACGAGGAGTGCGTCGAGGGCGTGCCATTGGCATGAAGAAGATATAAGTTGAGCACTTGTAATGAAGGCTAATAAGGTCTACGGTAATGAAAGATAAAACACAGATTTCGAGTCACTTCTGTTACAACACGTAAAATCCAAAGTTCTTCTTACCAATTAACAATCTGCAATGAAGATCACGATGCTCAGTATCGACATCTGCAGCATAGATCATGATATATACAAAAGTAGCAGCTCAGTCGATAGGTCCAAAACGAGTAGTTACTGCGAAAGTGTCGCACACAATAGTTACTTTCTTCATGTAATCGCTTCACAGGCAAGGGCTTACATGATGGTGTTTATCGATACTTTATGCATCAAACGTGGGATCATTATTGTCTGAACAGCTTACATATTACAATTGATCAAAAAGGAGAAAAGGACAAAATTAACTCTACTAAATTGTCCGAGATGCTCTTTACAGCAATAAAAGCATCACTTTATTGTGTACTTTTGTGAAGTGTGCTAATATTTATCGAAGCGATAGTTTCAAAAATATAAATAGTCGACGCGTACATAAATGTGATGCATCACTATAACCCATTGACAAGTTATACAGTCCTATATTACTAATCAATCACTTGTCTTTATATTTTAATATATGTAATGCCGTCTGCATAGTCAGATAAATCATATTTGCTATTTGATTCGTTTTTGATATGGAAATGTAGAAATGATTGACGTCTAAAATTACAGCTCAAGTCTGTAATACCGACCCATATTCTGCTTATGATAGGGATATTGTGTCCGACAGACGCTGATGTCAGTTCGGGCAACAGCCGGTAACTCCTACACAAACAATATAGTGCACGGCGCATCCAATTGAACCGCAGAGGTTGCCATCGGATAAAGACTCGGAGGTGCGATTATGCATTATATCAGTCACGTATGACAAACGACTTACGGCTTGAATACACGCAGCAAATTCGAATATAGGAATTTTGTACCTATATATGCACATTCCACTCACAGGTATCCTGTCCTAATCGATGACAAGTCGCATGATTACGGCCATCCCATCAGCTTGTGGGGATCCAAACGAAGCACTTTGCCTGATGCCTGCAGCAGGTACTTTACCGACCCATAAGATAAAGCAAGACGTACAAAACAGCTCATTTGCCCTTCGATCGCACACCTCTTCTTGGCGACAAGTCCTGACAAACATAGATAGTTCAGTTATTATGCAACGTCGCATCATACGTGCAAAGAAAACCACCACACTTGAAGTATGGTCAACTGCTTGACTCGACCCGTTCTACCTTAGAAACTCTTCGTTCACTCATACCTTTGGAGTGTTTGCAGATGCAGTTTGCTGGTCTCTGCGATGACGCAGCTTGTCAATGTTATCGTGGATATGCGTTACAGACACGCAGAGACACATTGCAATCGACAAGCTTACTGCGTAAATGCGGCCGCCAACTTTGTGACATTTAGCGAGCCGATGTAAACGCGGTACTCACCCGTTTGTTGGCTTGATGTGGCTGATCGGTTTTTTTGATAAAATATGCTTTGCTCTGTCACGGACACACATTTTAGGACAAGGCGTGAGTTTACGGGAGGCCGGATACGTATTTGAGTCAACGTTAGTGCACCTTATTTCCAACGTGTACATGCGTGCTATATTAATAGGGGCGCTGCGCTTTGCTTAATTTTGAATCTGTCACTTTGTAAAACGACGACTTTCCACACAAAACCTGGTCGGTCTGATTTCTCCGATAGATAAGCGAACAGATGATTTGCCGGCGCGCAGACGCACGCTCTCGTTGCTGATCTCCTTCGTGCGACGCGGTTCTTTCGACAAATCTGCTCCCGCTTGTTGCCGCAGCGACTGGCTTCTACGAATCACTCTTCGTTTGCCTCCCTCAGCTCGACATCAATCGCTGCCCAGTGCAAGAACGACAAACATTCGCCTTACGCGTCGAGAATTCGTCCCGAATGTATGCACTCATTTTTTCGCTCTGGTCAACAGCGCTGTCGGCTTCTTTCGTCAGCGCAGGTCGTGTCGTCGATGACCACGCGTGCCACTGGGATAATGTCCGCGATGTCTGCATGCCCGAGAGTTTGTGCGAGATGGATTTCAAGATTGGCGACCTCAAATTCAACCAGAGCTGCCGTGTGAGAGACGGAGTGAACCTCTACCCGCAGCAGATCCACTTGGCTTTCGCAGGAAAGGCGGCGGGTGCAGCCATGACGGTGTCGTGGGCGACATTCGAGCCTGTGACTGACAGCGTCGTGTGGGTGGGCAAGTCCAAGGATACGCTTGAGTTGGTCGACACGCCGGTGTCTGCCGCTAGTTATTATAGCGACAACGAGTACAACTTGTTTCACCACCACGCGACAGTCACCGGTCTCAAGCCTCGTACGAGATATTTCTACAGGGTGGGATGTCTAAGTGACGACAAGTACACGAGCGAGGTCAGTTCGTTCGTTACAGCACGTGCCGCCACGGACGATCGCTCGTTCAGCGTGCTCATCTATGGCGATCTCGGAGACGGCAAGAACTCGGTGGATACGATCGGACGCATTAATAAACTCACGTCGCACGATATCGACCTCGTGTATCACCTCGGCGATATTTCGTATGCTGACGACGCTTATTTGACCCTCAATCAAGCCGCAGGGTTCTTTTACGAAGAAGTGTACAACAAGTGGATGAACACGATGATGCCGCTGATGAGCCGTGTCCCGTACATGGTGATAGTGGGGAACCACGAGGCAGAGTGCCACTCACCAAGATGCTTGACATCCAAGAAAAAGCGGGAGCCATTAGGCAACTACGCTGCGTACAACACAAGGTTCAAGATGCCAAGCGAGGAGAGCGGTGGCGCTTTGAATATGTGGCACTCGTTTGACCACGGCCCGATCCACTTCACGTCGCTGTCGACGGAGACAGACTACCCAGACGCGCCTACCAACCAAGTTGCTTCCAACGAGAAGTACGGAGGCTTTGGGGATCAGCTGAGCTGGGTTGAAGCGGACCTGAAAAAAGCGAACGCCAATCGGGACAAGGTGCCGTGGATATTCGTTGGCATGCACCGTCCAATCTACAGTATTTTTGAATCCATACACGACGTGCCAATCTTGCAGACACGGCATATCCAGGCAGCCTTTGAAGAGCTCCTGCTTCGGTACAAAGTGGACGCGGTGTTGACTGGGCACAAGCACTACTACGAGCGGCATCTACCGGTCGCCGAGAACAAAGCTGTGATGGACGGCGTGTCGGAGAATCACAGGTTGTATGACAACCCGAAAGCTCCCGTGCACATTATAATGGGTGGAGCCGGTCAGTCGGAAGGCCTGTCTCCACGGCCGTTGTTCGGTACCTCGTGGAATGCTGCGAGAGATTACAAGCACTTCGGGTACACAATGCTGCGCGCCAATCGCACGACGCTATCGTGGAAGTACGTCTCGAGCACCGACGGGTCCATCCTTGATCATTTTGTTATGTTAAAGACCGATCCAGCGGCTACAGAGTAACAGAACACGATTGTTATTGCCCAAGTGCGTAGTTCATTTTGTTCAGTCTTCGATGCGAATGGTTGACGACCTATCTGAGACATAGAGTATACATGGGTGTAATCTCGAAGCTCGCCCTTATCAATAAGTGTTCTAGACCAGAAAATGGGACCTGGCTTTGGATTCTCAACGCACCCATACCAGATAGTTGAGGCTCGCGGCTGGTGACGAGCTGCGCGTTGTGGGGTGAACTGCCTCATTGTTTCGTAATGAAGCAAATCGCTAGCGCTGGTTGTGTATGGAAGATTAAGAAGTAAAAAGAAGAAGACGATGGCATATCTTACAACAAGATCAATAGTGTGCGACACCGACGACATGAAGTTGAGGTGTTTTGGAACAGAAAAATCAAGGAGCTTTACCTACCGCCGAGCAAGAAAAGTAACCATATTCAACATTTCCATTCGCTTTTCGTTCAAGGATGTACGATTAGGTTGATCGTTCTCATGATCTCTCTCACACAAACTACCACAGAGCTAAAGAGCAACAAAGAGAGTGGTTTAGGCCATTCGTACATCGGTCTCACACGCGCGCTGCTACTAAATGGCTTCATTCCGTAGCATGTAACTACGTGAGTGAGACCTATTATAATGGCTGCAAAAGGATCCAGCTGATGGCCTTGCCCTTTAGGCTCGCAACGTTCGATTAGGAAACATGATACGTTCTTTATTTCTTTGAGCATACCATGTGGCTACTCCGCCATGCGACAGAACCAACTTTATCACCCATAACGAGGACAGAGTTGATGAGCACTAAAACGGCGAAAAAGTGGCTCATCAATAGACGTGAGCTCGCAATCTACATCGTGTATGCTCCTTACGCCCAATCTAATGAGCAGCAAACCTTAGACGTTGATACGGAGTGAGCGAAGAGCACCCGATCATTGTGAAAGTCCCGATGAATTAGTGTTATTCTCAATGTATGTAATGGAAAATTCGCGAACCTTGTCCCTTGAGTAGCCGTAGCCAGTTTGCTTGAAGCGGTCGGTAGACCCGCGAACTTCAGAGCATAACTCTTCGGTCCACAGGCTTGTGAGTGTGAGCAGGGTGGACGCAGGGTGGGGGGTGATTTTTTAAGCGGACTAGCCAGGACAAGCCGTCGCGATGACGCAATAGAGAGGAGGTGTATAGAGCGTTACAATACATGACAGTGTTAAGTGGCGCGGCGACAACACTACAAGGAAGCGATGTATTGTGTTCTTTCAATATCTTAAACACTGAGGTGAACCCATATTATTTTAGTAGATTAGAGATGTATTTCTTGTCATTCCCTTCTCGTCATACAAGACTAAATGTGCTTTTGGCGTCAGTTGATTTTTTTGATAGATTCAACGCACAAGCCTGGCCGATCAAACGTCGGAATGCTTTCAATTCCAAGACAAGATCAGCAACTGATTTGACCCACAGATTGGATGCGTTTCGGCATATAATCAACTTGCTTCCCATCTGTAACGGGGCAGCCCGTTACATGGAGTGATGAATGGGTAAAAAAGTTCACTACATTGTTAAGATATAGTTGACAGGAGGTAAACTGATGATATTCTTATGTTATGTTTCCGTGTCACACTTTGTTAGTGCAACCGCGGTATGGGCGACGTGTACCCTGTGATGTACCACTAATTTAAATCTAGGAGTACTAAGTACGCTTGTGGATGTGTTTCTGCCACCTAAGAATAACATTTCAAGAGTTCTGTAGAAGAAAAGCGATCAGTTGCATTCACCACCAGACGGGTATTGCCCACACATAGAAAAACTAGTCTGAATTTTGATCACTTCAAGACACATGCCTTGCTTAGGCGTCCTATATTGTTGTTGGTTGTCAAGCCTTATTATAGGATAATGCTTGAGCAATTTGTGCTCTTATTTAGCTAAATCATTAAGTACCTTATGCCAGGACAAAAAGCGATGTAAGTTATTCATTTCGCTGAGTCGTTGTTCTAAGGAAAGAAGCTGCTTCGTTGTGTCGTTAAAACCGTTGGAGGGAGGAGAGTGTTTATATGCACTGCGTCGTTGCATAAACGACGACAGTCGATGGGTCGCAGGATGCGAAGAGTTGCTTGAGACTGCGAGTGAGATTTGCACAAGTGGACGAAGTATTTAGCATGAGCACGATGGTAATACGCAGTCTGCAAAACAACCACATCCGAGCACTTGTGTTCTACAAGCACACAGATGCAAAGTGAATAGGTTATGAGCCCAAACAGGGGCGACGAGTTCTAAAATTCCGTCTTACGCGCTGCGGCAGCGTCGATGGCGAGGCGTCGCGAAAAATAACAAGCCGCGTGATAGGATTTAACTAGGCTATGGAGCTTTCACTAGGATGAAGACGGCTTAAGGCCGGGAATGAAAACCGAAAAGTGAGTTGTATTTATGGTGTCCTTACCTCAAAAAATGAATGGCTGGTAGAAGCCGGTGACTCTCAGCCACCAATTTCGTTCCCTGTCTCCACCGCTTTTTGTTTTAACTATCACTGGGTAATTACGTCTCGTAATATACCTTTGGCAAAACTCTGCTTCGTCATATGCAGAATGAAAACGATTGCGTGGTTGTGGGGGACGTAACTGCGAGTGGGTCGCAGTTCTGGTGAACCCCAAACACAAGGTCGTGAGTATCAGTCACAATTAACTTGCACACGACGGGCGTCGAACCCGCACTCACCCGATTATTATCCCCCTTCCCAAACGACTGAGCCAATCTGTTGCTCCGTCATCATCGCTAACATCCCACATCATAACCCTACCAAAGAACAATTCAACTAGTCCCAATATGCAATACATCCTGCACATGTCGCCGTAACATCACTCACTAACACCGCGCAGACACTGCCAGCTGGATCAAGCGACCACAGCGGCGAAAGCATGCCGCCGGAGCTTGTTCTCGTGATTGAGCAACATACAGCAATGGTCACTCGGCTCGAAGAAATAGAGCGATAAAGGATCGAGCTGCCACAACCGACGGGTGACATCTTCGAGTCGGTCGACACGACGAGATCAAGAGCGATCTTCCCGGCATCGAGACCAACGGCAGCGTTCCGACCACCTTTCATGCGCATGACAAATGTGCGTCCGATAGAGGTCGATGACCTACACGACATTTTTGGTTCGGAGTCCCAAGTACGCGACGCGAGCGTCAGGACAGAACGTCGAGCGCTGCGAAAAAAGCAGCAGCAACACTACTAGGAATTTGCCGCAGCACGTGAGGGTTTGCGAGTGGCAGCAGAAGCTCAAGGCATGCAGATGATAGCGGATGCAGAAGTACACGAGTTGCGACGAGCAGAGGAGAGTGCCGCATCGGAAACAGCGGAAGGACAACTGCAGCAAGCTGGACGCCAACTGCGGAGTGAAGGCAATTTTTACAGACGACAGCAGGAGGCACTGTGACATAGGTTGTCTATCTAAATGACCTGCGCGGCCATCATTGGATTGCGCCAGACAAACGAAGATTGCGCCAGCCTTTTTATATGATTACACCAGGCTAGTCTACCAAGTTTAACACTCCTCCTCAGTACATTCATTCTCCATTTCACTACATTAGACTCGAGCCCCGCTGCAATGTACGGGACGGGTTTTTAATTTTGATATATCAAATTTAGCTGATTCAGTCACATCCCGTACGAGAATTCCGTCGCTATAATCACGGGACGGAATGAGGATGAATTCGTCACGTACACCATCGTGACGTGCCAAGAAAGTGCGACGTTACCAGCTGACATCGCCACAATGAAGATAAAGCGCTTTCGCGGTAGTTCATCGAAGGACTGGCTCACATGGAGCATGCATTTTCGAAGCTGCGCGAAACGAAAAGGCTGGAGAGCTGAACAGCTATCTGTTCAACTGCTTACGCTGAATGACGGTGGTCTGTTGCGAGAAGTAGAGCGCATCGCCAACGATGCTTCCAGAAAAGGTCTGACATTTAAAGACTTTTAGTGTGAGGTTGGACTTCATTTAGTCCCAGCGGACTACTGTAAAGACCTGGAAAAGAGCTATGGACCCTTACCAAGCGCAGAGAAGAGACGGTACAAAGCTGCGCGACACGGCTACGACAGCTTGCACAGATGTACGCCGAGTTGCCCCAGGATGCGCAAATCATCTCAGAGCTGCAACAATATCGCTATTTTTGCCGAGCCATGCCGCCGAACTGGCAGTACAAGCTCGCGTGTTGCGGAATTTCGTATGAGACGGTGAACGAACTGGCGATGTATTTCGAGCGCCTCGAAAGGCGCGAGAGGCAGACTGGCCGGGATCGCCTAAATGACCCAGCTAGTCATGGTGGTGACAATGGTTAAGGTCGACGCGACCAACAATGACCTTCTGATAATTGGCGAAGAGATCAGCGCAACCATCGCGAGCATTGCGACACGCGCCAAGATCATCGAGGCCAAACGGGTGTACAAGGCAGCAAGAAGAAACACGACCGCCACCAAGAGCACGACAAGTGGTATTCATTCCACAAATCAAGCTCTCACGCTTCCAGCGATTTTTTTGCCCTCAAGAAGCAGCGCGAAGAGTACAAGCCTGCCGAGACGAAACGACATGCTCGAAAAAGAGTAATTACCCAAGATTAGAAAAAGAAGAGGCAAGCGACTGTGACAGCGACAGCGAAATTAAGCTTGTCGGCCTCGTCAAGGAGAAACAACCAAGCGCCAAGCTCGCCCAGCTACGCATTACGGTACAAATCAAAGACGCGAGTGGCGCCTTCAATGAACTTCCAGACAGTGGTGCCATGAGTATAATCAACCAAGAAACTATGCGATAAAATGATCAGCTTGGGCATGGACAAGTCGAGTCAGCGACAACGTTTCAGACGGTCAACGGAGAGGTCACTAGTGCTCATAGTACGATTGTACATTTCCGCTTTCTGGCTCTCAAGCCTTCGACCATAATCACGCACAAGTTCTAAATTCAGGATCAGAAACAGGATGCTATGGTGGTCGGTCGTGACATCCTGAATGAATTGGGGATCATG